CCTCTTTTGGAAGGCCAAAGAAAGTAGTTTCGCTTTCACAACGAAACACACAGCGTCACACACTGCAGGCTTGAGTGAGCAGCGGCCGGCGGGCTTGATGTGAAGACCCCGGGCTGGACTCCGCTTCATCCATGGTGAAAGCCGATCCGGTGATCCACAGCACGAAGTTGATGTATTTCCTCAGCGACCAGCACGGATCAGCTCCAGGCATGACGAAGCAGATATCGTCCTCTTCAGTGAATGGGTGCCGTCAGAATGAGAGCCTAAACAGCTGATAAAAACCACGATAATCCACACGACTCCAGTCCATTAATTAATGTCTTATGAAGTGAAAAGCTGTTTGTTATAATATATATATAAAAAAACATCAGAAAGGTGTTTTAACTTTATTTCTGTCAGTAATACATAACGTGATTAGAACTGTTTTGGACTCCTTTTGCTTGTAAACAGTCCTTGATCTGTGGATATTTCTCTCCTGATTCAGATTAGATGACTTTTTAATTGGAAAAAGCAATATTATGTATAGAGGACTTGTATTTTAGCCAGAAGCATGGTTTAAAGTTAAAAAGCCTAAAAGATGGATTTCTTTCTTACAAACATTGTCCTGTGGATTGCTTGTGGATTATTGTGATGTTTTTATCAGCTGTTTGGACTCTACTACAGAGGATCCATTGGCGATCAAGTGATGTAATTCTAAATTTCTTCAAATCTGTTCTCATGAAGAAACTCATCTACATCTTGGATGGCCTGAGGGTGAGTACATTTGAGCAAGTTTTTATTTTTGAGTGAACAATTCCTTTAAAGATAGAGTACCACTTTAATTAATAGCATTTAGAAGAAGAGTTATTGTTATTGTGTTTTTGTGATTCTTATGCATATGTTTTTATGTTAAGGCCCAAAGCTCCCCGTCCTGCATCTGCTAACTCAAACCCAAACAGGTTTGCACAGAAGTTTGGGAGTACAGATCGCTGTCCTCGCTGCTCTAAAGCGGTTTATGCAGCAGAGAAAGTCATGGGCGCTGGAAAGGTAAAACTACAGCTAAAATTAAAGCAAGAAGCTGACTCAGAGTTTTGATACATTATACTCTGATATAATATGAAATATATTAATATTAAACCATTCAAACTGAAATAAGCATATTTTGAGAACATGTTCCCTTCTCAGCACTTCTGCAATATGCTGCTGTCACAGGTCAGCGCTGTGTAAAGCACATTTCACCGTAGTAATTTATCAGACTGTGACTGGTTCTGATACAACAGCCCTGGCACAAAACCTGCTTCCGCTGTTTATTGTGTGGGAAGAGCCTGGAATCCACCACGGTGACAGATAAAGATGGAGAGCTCTATTGTAAAGGTACAATCCATCAAATGAGACAGCAAGATCTCTGCCAGCTCAATCTCATTAATATCACTTAACCAATCAATAGATACTCTGTTTTGAGTTTATTTCTCACAATTGTGCAATTATCTCTCGCAATTCTGAGAAAAAAAAGGTTGCAAGTACCATTTTTATGTTTGTTCCATGGCAGAAATGGGCTTCCATAGAAATTTGCATTAAAAATTAAAATAAAAAAATAACACTGTTTGTAAAATATTGCTGAACACTACATTCTCAGAAAAAAAAGGTACAAAGCTGTCACTGGGTTGGTATTCTAGGGTACAAAAGCTAAAAGGTACATCTTTGTACCTTATTTACCTCTAGATGGTATCGCCCCAGTCTTTTATCATACCTTTTATCCTGAGAGTAATTTAATATTAACCATAAGATTTCTCTTTTTTATTTATTTTTTCCCCTGTTTGCTATGCCAAAAACTTCGGTCCAAAGGGGCGTGGCCTGGGGAACCTGGGTGTGGTCGAGGAGAATGATTGACAAGTTTAGTCCAACCCAATGCAGCTGCTATTTCACTGCACACAACATCGGTTAAGGCTAGAAGGGATATGCATGGCGCTACTGGGCATGCGCACATCAATATAGCGTAATTTTGTCACAATGTACAACAATAATGACTATTTTTTCATTATTGTAAGGGGTAGGTTTAGGGTTGGGGTAGGTGTAGACGTTAATAACACACGATCTAATAGGTAGAAATTTCATTGTTCGTTTCCGGTCGGAAATGATCTTATCCCTTCATGTTAAGTTGGAACAGGGGTATTTTAAGATTAAAAAAATGCACACACTTCAGCTTTAAACTTAATCTTAAATTGATGCTATGCTGCATAAAACAAATGTATTACAATAATAAGAATCCTATCTACTGTACCTGTATATCATATGTCACAACATAAAAACAAAAATAAAGAGTAAATAAAGGATAAAATACGTGTCATTCAACATTGATTCAAAGATGATTAGTTACTAGGAAAATAAACGTATAAAATCAGCATATTAGAAGGATTTCTGAAGTATCATGTGACACTGAGTACTTGAGTAATGATGCTGAAAATTCCGTTTTGCCTCACAGGAATACATTATATTACAAAATTAATAAAATAGAAAACATTTATTATAAATCAAAATAATATTTAACAATAATTCAGTTTTTGCTGTATTTTTTTATCAAGTTGCAACACTAATAAGCGTAAGAGACTTATTTCAAAAACTATATATTTATACTTTTTATATACATATTTATATATATATATCTCCAAAACTCCTTCACTACTAGCTATTAGCTAATAGTGGCTGTAATGTAAGTTACTCAATAATGTTTTGTTGTTGTTAGATCAGCAACAAATACACCTTTACCTGGAGAAACACTCTGACCAGCAAATTACAAAAGTGGTCTGATTTATTCCAAAGCACAGAGTAGGATTCAAGAACAGCATTTTTCCCTTATTATGACATACTGTGTAATAAAGTATAATGAACAGAATTGAGAACTGCAGTAAAGAACGAGCTGATGCTATCAGGCACAGCCCTGTACCACACAGTGGTTATTAAAGGCATAAATAGAAGATCAACTGCCTTTGAAAACATTACTGATTAAAGGTAACATGATACTAATAGCTAATAAAATATATTAAATGATATGATTCGTCTTGCATGTATAATGCTATAAATGTTGTGGTTGTAATGCATCTGATCGTAGCGTGAAGTCATTTCAGATGCGTTTTGACTCATCAAGGGATGTACGGTTCTCAGAATTTCTCAAAATTTGCATTTTTTTTGTATAAAATTGTTTACAAATCTTTTCACAAAGACCATACATATAGTGGTCACTTCCTGTAAAAGGACTTGGAGTAAAAACCAAAGCGTGATCTTACCGTACCTTACAAAATATTTCTGCTCAAAATATATCAGTGTGCTTATAAACATGTATTCATCCTTATGTACAACTTAAGCTGTAAGGCAAAATCTAACCTTGAACGCACATCACATATACTATATTTCCCTCAAATACAAAAGGCGGATGTTCTTGCAAATAGAACAAACGATTATCCAAATTAGCATTCGGTCTGTTCTTCGTTTCCATCATTAAAAAGGCATTAAAATCAAACCAATGGCTCCCGAACTGGGGACGTTGCTCTCCCTGAGTGGGTGACTGATCGCTGGGGATCAAACAGCATCGGGGCCGCTGAAAATGGGATGGTCTCTGCTGAGACCCATGGCATACTGCTGAGTCCAGTCCAGCACCATTGGCTTACAGAGACCATAGCAGCGCCACTGGAAGAAGTTCACCAGGTTCCTCACCACTCCAAGACTATGAGAGAAGAAACACGATTAAAAATAAGAACTTTATCAACCCTACACTAATGAAAACGTCCTTACTTGAATGGGTTTTGTCTGAGAGAGAAGGCTTGAGGGAGTTTTCTCTGTCTGTGCATCAGGTTTGCTCTCTCAGCCGTCGTCAGCCCGAGAAACGCGATCTGTGAGGAAACAAAGCAAACCATGAAGAGCCAATGCATACATTTGTGTGAAATCAAAAGACATACAGTCCTCCACTTTTAAGACTTTCCACTATTAACCACTATGCTAGTGTGAGAACATGTTCCTAACGCCTGTTCGTTAATCATGTGAGAAATTCAATCTCCTAAAACACTACAGACATATATGGTCATTGTTTACACATTTTAAAAGATTTACACCTTTTTTTAAACTTTATTTTAATTGAAATCTTGCACTACTCTTTAAAGTAATATCATTATTTAGTGTTATATTAGTATTATTTACATACTATTATAGTACTTAATGTTTTGAATATGCTTTTATTTTAAAATTTAAGTTTTAGCTATTTTTTATGTGCTTTTGTAATTTTAAGTGCTTTTTATTTTTTATATTTCTATTAACTTTATTTTTATTTCAGTTGTAGTTTTATTGAAAATGTTCAGGCTTAACTTAAAAAAAAAACTTATTTTAGTTGGCTGACAAGGCAACAATACTAATCTTTGTTTAAGATTTCATTTAATATTTATATTTTATTTCAATTACCAAACACCAAACAAGGTTATTTTAAAAGGTCTTTAAAGACTCAGTGTTAGTTAAAGGTGCTGTATGTAGGATTGACACCTAGTGATTGAACTAGGTATTGCAGTCCAAATTCAAAATATTAGAGAGGGTTTTTTTTCACCCGGCCCCTCCTCCTCGGACTTGACACACACTCAGGTTGCCAGATTGACGACACCAACAGGAACTGACCCCTTTCGTTTGGCACCTTCCATGACTGAAATGAAATACGCTGTGTTTTCCGCCAACTGGCAACCCGGGGTGCCGGAAATACAATGGGGTAAACTGGCAGTAGGCGGGTTACACAGACCAAAACAAAGACAGACATTCCGACACAGAACGCACATGTAGCATTGTTTTTCAGATAAACAAGTATGTTAACTTAGAATGTTTCTTAAATATCTGCAAACATATTACGGTATTTTATGCTTTAGTAGTCAAAAACTTACATACAGCACCTTTAACAATACCAACACTTTTAATAATTGTAATATAATTTCATAATTAACACTTATCAGTGTTCGCTTTGTTCAAAGCTGCTGTTATATTTTTGTAGAAAGAGGCCGCAAGATATTGATGACTAATACTTATGTTTTTCTTTATAACAAGTATTGGTCTGATTAAGTTGATATTAGGTAAATAAAACATCAGGGCATAATTCAAAAAGCATACTTGATTTCTATGTACTACCTACATATCATAATTATTTAAACATGATTGATTTCATGTTATGCAAAATTCTAGGCAAAGGAGTGAAGAAATGCCATTGTATCCGTCATCAGCCATAGCGCAAAAATAATGACAGCTGTTCACTCTGGTTCTTATGTCCTAATAGGGCTGTCAAAAATGTTTTAGAATTTCGAATATTCGTCGAATTTAAAATAAAAATCCACATTCGAATGCAAAAACGTTGCATTCGAATTTTAGGTGTGCGTTAAGGAGGCTTATCAGTGGCGCACGAGATGCGATGACGATGCAAGTGTCCTTGCATTATAATGTTTTTGTTAGCCTATCCAGTTGAAGCCACTAGATGCGGCGCTGCTGCGTTGTTCATTACAAATATTGCGGGAAAAGAGAACATCAATGCGGAGAAGATCTTGTTTACATCAAAACCCGAAACCAAGCCGTTCACACAGAACGCATATTTCACGCATTTTCTAGATGGACATCTATTACTGTTGCACTCGCGTCTCGCACAAAGGAGCCGCATGTTTAGAAAGCCATGTAAAATTAATGCAAGTTTAACTTTGAAAAAAACATATATTGAGACTTTATGGTGGGGTTTTCCCCATCTGACTGCAACTCCTGTTTTTAAATGAAAAATGTACTCTGTGTGATTGGCTTTCCGCCATTTGTATTAAACTATGCATGCATACATGATGCTGTTTTGTTTATAGTTGTTTAAGCAACTTAATTATAATTGGTTTATAAACGTTATTTTAAACATTATGCACTTTTTTTTCGCAGATAGTCATGTTATCTTATGCTTTGAATGATGCGCCCTCTTGTGGCCTCAGGAGAGAAGCCAAAAGCTTTTCTTCACCCTAACTGAAATCATGCATTTTAAATTCGAATATAATTTGAATTTTGATCATATTTAAGTACAACATTCGAATTTAGTTTTTCAGCCATTTTGACAGCCCTATGTCCTAATATACAGTATTTGGCCAAAAGTGCTGATATTTAGCTGGGATGTTTCAGTTTATAGCACATCATCATGTCATTCACCTGGTAGAGCTGCACCAAAAGCAGGATGGAGGCCCAGGAAGCGTTTAAGAAAGCAAAGCAGAAGATGTAGAGCACCCAGGGAGAGCAGCCTGTCAGAGTGGTCACCACCCCCCAGACGCCCTCCTCTGTGTAGTGCGGTGGACAGTGTTTGGACCAGTCTACACACAGAAAAACACATACTTTTTTTAAATTAACATTTTCTTCTGGCGAGACTAAAAATGCAAGATGTAGCCTAGTATTTTACAGACATCAACTATTCATTTGGGAACTAGTCATAGTGAGCATAAGAGACTTAATTCAAAAACAAAAATTGTACTGACCACAAACTTTTGAATGCTAGTGTACATTCGAGTTCAAGTGGTAACTTACACATGATACTGCCGTAGAACATCCATATGCAGAGGAAGTTCAGAGCAACCAGGAAAAGCACAAAGTACGGGTGATTTCTGGCCCCTGTAAAAGGAGGTTAACATGAGCGACTCGTAATGACAGCAAAAAATGAGAGAAAAGGAAGTCTATGCTATAAAACATCCTAGTTCGCGCATGTTACCTATGCAGCCATTAATCCAAATGGAGTGGTGGTCTTGTTTAGCGACACAAGCATTACAGGAAAAGCAGTGATTTGCTCTCATTGGCTTCCTCATCTGCAAAAACAAGGATTTTAAGCTCTATAGGAAACTCTGAAGAATGTTTACAATACAGTATATGTTCCTGTTAGTACTACGGTAAAACCATGCAGATTTCCAAACCATGGCCTTGCGGTTAGCGCACATGCTTGGACT